GGTGCCTATCTCCAGCAGTCAATGGGCGAGAGGCAGGGTAGGCCAGTACATCAGTAGACATTAGGGGTGTAAATCACATCCATCATGGCGATTTGATTCAGTATCCATTTCCTGACCCAACGATTCGATTATTTTCGATACTCAAAAATACATCACAATACGATTCGATTCGATAATTTGGTTAATATTGTGTTGTGTTGGAAAAAAAATGAATCGATACTCTTGCGGACGTATCGATGCATCGTATCGTCGGCTGTTGGATCGATGCATCGATACAAAACGGTTATTATTTACACCCCTAGTAGACATGGAGGAGGCCGTAGGAGGGCAACAACCCAGCAGCAGGACAGCTACCTCCGCCTTTGTACAAGGAGGGACAGGAGGAGCACAGCCAGAGCCCTGCAAAATGACATCCAGCAGGCCACAAATGTGCATGTGTCTGTACAAACGGTTAGAAACTGAGGGCCTGCATTAGTGATGGCGAAATGAAGCTTCATAAAGCACTGAACCGTTCCATCCAATTGGTTCGCTCATTTGCCAAAGCTTCAAGGTGTTTCATTTGCTCTATTGTGCCATCAAGTGGACAAATGTAAAACACCCAGTGTGATTATAATGACACTATGGCTTTGGTGTCTGAAGCATTGAATAGATTTATGATGCTTACACATAAATTATAAACTTTTATATGGTGTCTGTCATCATGTGATACAATGACACGGTCAGCATTTTATCCATTTTTATTTTGGTCCAAAAGCAACTTTCAAAAGCCAAGTCTGGGCCCTGAACCAATAACCTTTGGACAGAAAGGCAAACTCCTACTGTCACTTTCAGAAAATAGTAATACTGAATACTTATAATACAGCTGAAACCAATTGCTTGGTTAATTTCTGATCATTAGATTGTTTAATTTAAACAAAACTGTTTTAACCAACTGGATTGGTTATTTTTCCAATCAATCTATTCTCCTCCCCTACATGAAACACCCCCTTCACTACTCGACACACGCCTCGAAGCATCGGCTCATCTCATAACATCACTGCCTGACATCCAAAGATGGGGGTTGTGTACAAAGCCCAAACGTAGGCAGGATGCTTGGCATTTGCCAGAGAACACCATGAAAAATGGTAGAAACATCTCCTTATGTCCATAAAGAATCATGCAACGCTAAGAAGAAACTAAATCAAACAAGTCAACATTTGTATCACAGAAAGAGAAACCCTTTGGATATAGATTTGAGCAAATTTCAGAAGAGTAATATTCACAATTTTTTCTACATTTTACAGGAAAATTTAGTGAAAGGTTAACATGTAGGCAGCCCTAACCTCCAGCAAACTGATTCCTTTGTTGGTTTGTTTTAACATCGGTTTAAATAAACTCATCATGCTTCATCGTCTTTGTCTCCTTTCATTTTTCAGCTCGATAGCTTACAATAAATCCAATAAAGAACTGGTCATCTTACGATCCTCTTTAGAATAAACTGGGATTGAAATAAAGCGATTAGGAGCATAAATGAAAACAATTCATAATGGGTTAGCTCATTTCCTGAGTGTCTAATCTCACCAATCACCATCTGCTGTAGGTGATGTCATGATATGATTGGCCCAAACGGCAGCATCCACTGCTATCGGCTGAAATAACAACCCACACACACCCAGGCACATGTCAGCTCCCACACACAGCATCAGGAGTTATCTTCAAACATAAAGCCTCATCGATCAGAAGTGCTCTCCCAGGGGAATTACATCATTGCTCAGCAAATAGCCAATCAGATTTGGGCTGAGATCGCCCGCTCTGTGACCCTATCTGCTATAATAGTAAAGGCAACAATGAAGCTCACGCTAATTCCAGTCACTTCAGAAGGTAGTATTGATATCTCTCTGAGGTAATGCTTCCACCCAAGCTGGAGCTGTATAATCTAAAAGATGCGGGGCATTCTTACAAGAGGAATAGTGAAGAAAATCAGCACCAACTCTGAATTATTGTTTGCTTGAATTGCTATTTTAAGGCATGCTAGATTGCTTTCCTCCATCTGCTCTCTTACACTAGATCCAGCTCAAAGTGTCAGATGTTTAGTTATTTCTCTGCCTTCCTTAGCAATAATCATCCTCGCAATAAATGCAGGCTTATCTGTGAACTGCTGTGAAGCTTACTGAATTGGCTGCAGCAGCCAGCCATGCTGCCAGAGAGACAGAGCATAGCCTCAAACGCAAGCCTTGGATTTAGGATTCAAATCAGTTTCCCTCTTAAACAGTTGGTGTCATATCAGCCTATGAGTAAATTAAAAATGTCCCTCTTTATTTTAGTCTCTTGAATTAAAATTGGATTCTGCACTTTGAAATTAGATTGCTTTTATATTTTATCTATGTTTTAAATGTGAGCATCATCCTGCACTAGTAAATAGGAGCTTACATAATATTTTATTTTACAGCTATTCCAGTTAATTATCACAGACTTCATCTGGCAGGCACAGAAATATATAAGAAAAGAACAGGACCAATTACTTTTCCTGTTCCTTAAATCTGATAGGGAGGCACAATTAAGATTTTCTAAATTAATCCAAATACCCATTTTAAAATCATAAAGTCAACAACGTCTTTATTGAATTTTCAATAAAAGAAAACAGAGGTTAACAAGAGTTATTAACATGGGTACTGTTGTGTATTAATCTGCACTAATCATAAGATAAAATAAAGTTAATGTTTTATAAGTTTAAAGTTGTTTTCCCAAATACTGTTATAAGAGCAATTCAAGGCCAAAAAGGAAAAGGAAAAAAACAGAGCAATGAATAGAGCCATTCAAGGCCAGAGAGGAGAAAAGCAGAGCAGTGAGTATGTGTAACTATTGCACCTGGCCCCAATAGGAGTGAAGTCTGCAGGACAACGCAGGGTTGAGGCCCCTTAGTGATAAGAAAGCACACTCAATAAAAATGAAATATTTGACATCTCAAGGTTGCCCAGCTCAGCAAAATTTGGCCATACAAAAAGAGTTGTTATTTTCAAGGCACACGGAGCGGTAATGGTCCCAGAAAGGGTGATGCTTTGACTAAGATACGAGGGGGGAGCAGTAGGCCAGACTGACATGGCTTGAAGCAAGGGAAAGATGTGTTCTGACATGTTTGTGACTAAACCGTCATAAGTTTCTGATTTGAATGCACCAGATGTTTTCATGGCCTGAGAGATTGCTCTCACAAGAATGAGATGTGTCTATGAATGTCACCGTGTTTTGCAGATAAATATCAATGTGACCTTTACCAAAGACGGAAATATGTTCTGAAGGGGGTTTTCCACCGATAAGAAATGTATAAAAGGGAGCTGTGTTCACCATTTGTTCAGCTTCGGCTCACCGGTGACCAGCTCAGTGTGTTGCTAAACACAATGTGTTGTGTTTAGCAATAAACACACTGGACCCGGACTCAGCTGCCTCTGCCTGAATTTTTTGATCTTTGTTTGAGACTTTTTCTGCTTTTTAAGAACTTTGAATTTTTATAAAAATTATCTTCAATTTTAAGTCGTCAAGAAGAGAATTATAGACGACAGTACTATGCAGAGATGAGTGTAAGATCAAACTGAAGGCTAAGGTAACAGAGCAAAACAAACAAAACAAAGATCCAATCAGATCCCAGGAACAACAAAAGGTGACAGTAATGGCGTGTCTTCATGGGAACAACAAATTACAATGATCCAGTACTGAATGTCAACTTCTTTTATCTTGCTTTATCTCTGGCAACCAAAAACGACATTGATGGTAGAATCATTGGAGGTAAAAAAATTAAAAAAAATCCTTAGAAAGAGACTAATTTATTTTTAGACCTGTCAACTTTGTTCTTGACAGAGTACCTGATCTTTTCAAAGCTAAGACAAGACCTTTTGTCGGCTACTCATTGGGTGTCGACTACCCGTCTATCTGAGCAAAATAAAACAACGGTATCGGTATCCGACGGGCCTATAAACCGCGTTAGATAGCGTTCTCCCTGCTTAACATGGGGGGAACGGTATCTGATGCGGTGTAAATATCATCAGGCTGCATTACCTCTACTCATGGGAGTGAAGTTTTTTTAACAGGGCGTTCAGATCTGGTGAGTGTATGAAATTAATAACTGGGGATGTCTAATTCTGAAATCCGGTGTGTTTGGGTTGTCATAGATACTGCAACATCCATCCATCCAGATTCTCCCTTTCTCCATATAGGCTAACTTTTGATCGTTCACGCTCTCCATAGTTCCCCTGTGAAGTGAGCACAGGGCGGCTGTTACGCGCCTTTAGCGAGCATGCGCATTTCCTTTCGCTTGCGCGGTGAATCGTGCCACCTGCGCTGTGCGGAGATGCAGGGGAAACCGTATCTGATGGGGAAACGCAGCTCAACGTAGCACTGGTATTTCCATCTGGAAAACGCTGTTTTGCTGCTGGAGTCCTCCTCACTCTCCATCTTTGTGTGCGTGCTGTACGTTAACAGCCGCCAGCAGAAACACCCACCTACCCAACTGACAGATGTAATCTTACTATACATCAGCCATTCTCATCCTCCCCTCTCTCATGAGTCCTATCATGAACAAAAGGTTAATTGTGCAACCTGAGTAACGTGCAGTAATGGGGTGTTGGCAATGGTAACTGCGTTATAGTTCCAGTAAGAGTGATTAGTTAGATTACTTGTTACTAAAAAAAAAAGGTAACGGAGTTAGTAACGCCATTACTTTAAACACCGTTACTCCCATCACTGTTGCATTATAAGGGGCTTAACTGGCATTCTTGATGTGTTCCTCTCTGTAAATGTAATTTTTTTTACTTTAAATAGACCCAATTAAAAGCTTTTTCTCCAGTGAGGGGGAGAGGATCCATTCTGGTACTTTGAGGAAGTGTGTTGAATACCAAGTGAGTGACATAAGTTAAAAAAGGAATGGTGATTTTAAAATAACCCCTGTTTGATCTTTATGAATGACTGAAGGAAAGAAAATTATTTTTTAATTGTAATCTCCAATAAATCTCATGTTTGCTTCAGCATACCTTGATGTAGCCACCAGTCGAAACGAGCACAGAGTTGTTCGGGGAGAAGTGCAGATCAGTCACCCAACCGCCATGGAGAGAATCCGTGCCGTCTTTACTTTCCTGGGCACAGACCTTCAGTAGAGAGCCATCTTTGACATTCCAGATCTGCGGTGAACAAAAATGATCACGTATAACCACAAACTTCAGGCAGCCTTTCGTCAAATTTTTTATATCATATATATAATATATTTTATTTTATGTTACTTTTTTATATATATATATATTTACTATTTTTCAAGATTGCACTTTTAAAGAAATGAAATTGTCAAGAGAGCTGTTCTAAACGACATTTCTTTTTGTTTTACACTTGTGTAAACAAAATGACAAATAAATCTAAGTCTAAACATATTTTACTTCCTATGTTTGAATAGAATGAAAAAATAAAAACATCTAATGAAATAAATATGGTGAAACTTTGTTAGACTGCAGCAGTTATGACAGAATACAGTTGTTTCTGTTATGCATTACTGTAAAAATGTGAAATTCTAACATTGTAGATAGAATTAAAATTTACAGGACAAATACTGGTGAAAGTTCTTGTGTGTGATTTTCTATAAAGCAAAAAAACAAAAATGTAAAAACAGGTGTTTAATCAAACCTTCTTCCATTTATTATCCATCACTGTAAGAGATCCAGTGTTCTCCATTATTGGCTAAATGCTTTGGTGTCTAAAAAGAGCTAGTGAGGGGCAGCTTAGCAGTCTGATAGTAGGATTCTGGTCATTTGGATCAGAGCAGAGATCATTTCTCATCGTTTCCCCACCTTTACTCTGCCAAAAGCAAGTTGCTTATAATTATGTGAGCACATCACATTTAAATAGCTCATTGATCCCAAGCAGCAAGCAAACAGAGAATTGATCCTAGCACCATGCAGCTGACGGCACTTTACCAGGTGAGTTCTTACAGCATGTTTGTCAGCAGGAATCTAGCATCAAGAATAAAGGAAGCCTCCAGGTATCCACAATTGCTACTTGCATTTGCAGGTCATTAGTTTTGATCCAATACTGTCCATACCAAGCGCTTGAAGCGGTTTAAGGTCTTTAATAGTGAGCAAAGGTTTTTGTTTTAGCAATCATGGAAGGAAATTTAACTGTAGTAACCATGACGTTATTAATCCATGATTTTATTATTATTATCATTTTATTTTTTTAGGATCCAAATCTTTAAATAAAGTTTTAACTAGTCTAATAAAAACTTCTCCAGACGTTCTAGTGGATCTTTTAGAAATTGATGTTTCACTTAAAGGTATTGAGGACAATGTTTTATTTCCGGCTGGATCTTTAAATAAGCGCTCCTCCTAATTGTCAATCATTCGGGTGATATGTTTATGTAAGGCCGCCCTAGGTGCTCGCTCCGTTAGCTATCTTTTTCTGTGCATGCGCACTTTCATGCATACATCTGTGGTGAGCTACGGTTTCAGACAGCCATTTAAGCTCACCTTTTGCACCACGGTTCTTTAAAAATGGCCGGGGGTCGTTAGAGAAAAAGTGTCTACGAAGTGTATGAGAAGAAAAAAAGGCCTCAGATGAGGCAGATATATCCCAGAATGCTTTGCGCAGAGAGCTCTCCTCGCAAAGCATTATGTGATTTGCTGTCACAGCGGCCCTCTGATGCCATAGGCTGTAGCTACCCGACAGCTGCGACTAATAACAAACATGGCAAAAAGCAGTGATCATCTGTCTGAACGGTCAGTAAACTGAGTTTGCTATAGAGTCCACTATATAGTCTCTGCTGTATGTGGACACAGTAAGCTTATATGATCTGTGAAAACAGCACATTTTAAACAGGGTGTGCACAAGGAGAAATGCGCTTGTGCATGCTCTTGCACAGGCATTTTTTTAAAGCGTAGAGGGCAGGTCTTTTTAAAAAAAGGATCTACCATACTTTTAATTCCTTGCAAAACTTTTTCTACAGTGATGATAATCTCTAAGTAATTAGCATACCCTATATTTATCTAAAAACATCCAACCAAAACATTTGAATGTCAATCATGCATAGAGGCCTGTTTACAAAACAAAACGAAGAAAACCAATTAGAAATATAGAGATATAGCCATGTTTTGGTTCAGATCAGTCTTGTTTGTTTCCAGAGAAACAAGTGGAGATTTTAATGAATTTCATTTCAGTGGATCTGCTTGGTTGAGTCATTTCCAAAAAAGATAACTTTTAAAATTATTGGCCAACACAGAGAAAAACACCATTTTCTGTTGCAGTCCGACTTCTCATTGTCTGTCAAATTGTGGTTTGTTTGGGGGGGTTTTTTGCACATTAGGACTGCAGAGCTTTAAAGATCCAATTTAGGTTCTCCTTCTCTCACCGTCAAACATCTCATGCACTCCCTCAGCTTCATAGTTTGCACCTCCTTGTGAAAGGAACCCTGCCTTCTGCCTTTCATCTCAACCCCTCCCTGTGTGCATGCACTGCAGTGATCACCATGTATTAGTAAGCACTTTCCCTAAATGAGTGATGACATGTAATTAGAGGAGGATTTCTGGGAATGAATGTTGACTGCTTTAATTACTTTTTGTATTACGAACAGAAAATTAGAAGGTTTGAGGCACTGTCACTGCATTCGGTCTGCACTGGGTGACGATAATAAAAAGAACAAAAACAACCAGGCAATCCTAATTTAGCACATTGCAAACTGCTTCAACAAAGCGATGGCTGGATTTTACGAGGACACACCCGGATCTCTCCGTTGTCGTCTCCTGTAGCAAGGCGTTTGCTATCCCAAGAGAAGCGGCAGCTTCGGACACACTCATGATGACCTCTCAGGGTGAAGACGCACTGCCAGGACTCGCAGCTCCACAACTAAGGATCAGATGAAAATCAAAGTCAATTATGCTGAGGGAATAAATCTTTAAGCTTAGATTTAAACAAAATTATCATAAATGTATCCAAGTAAAACTAAAAAGAGTTACAACATGCTACATAATGATGAGATCTGAAAACTTGTTTAAAATTAAAACATGTTGAGGACTCAGAAGATAAACTGTGAGCCATCTGCATTGTATAAACATAATTACGGCATTGTTTGCTTATACAGTAGCAACCTGGTAAACCTTGTACAGATTGCTTTATGGTGCTACAGCTTTTGTGTTTAAAATCTTCCCCTCGTCATTCGTCCTTTCATTTCTACCTCCTTCACCATCTTTGCACATTGCATAACAAATAACCCAACCGCTAATTATGCACTTCATTTGGCAAACATAACTGCAAAAAAAACTAGGGGAAAGGGAGCAGAGCATAAGAAAAGAACACAACAGAGCGCTCTGTGATGCCTCTGAAAGAATTTCAAAACTACACTTTTTGGTTTGACCTCCAGACAGATGGAAACCAGGGACATTGGCGGTTGTGTGTTCTTTGTTTTTATGAGCCAGCAATGCCCCCAACTCGGTCTGGAGAGCAAAGACTATGTGGCTGGCTGCTGACCAGCCTGATAAACACACAAACCTCAATTATGATCTTTGCCAAATCCATAAAAAACACAAAGTCGTTGTGAGAATCAGGGTTGGCGAGCAACCAAATCTGAATTCCCACGTGAAACCTGCGAGCAGTGGCTCCTGATTGAGTTATTTAACAAAAGGTGGACGATTGGCTTGGAATTGGTGTTGGTGCTGGAATGAAGACAAAAGAACAAAAAAACAAGGATTGCATAACTGATGAAGACCCCAAAGCAACAGCTATAATCCCAGTCCTGGATGATTCGTGATGTACAAAGCCAATATTAATTCAACTCTTCCAAACAAACACAGTGCAGCTACTCTAAAAAAAGATGCACTGAAAAAAAAATCTTAATTATTTTTCCCATCAACAGTCATTCACAAAGCACGGATGAAATGACTTGCCTAGATCTGAAAGCACAGGGTTATAACCAAATACAAAATCTCAGCTTATTAAGTCAAAGTCAGCCCAAAGTCAGGCCTACTGGTGTTGGTACATAGTCATTTGGCAAAGGCTTCATCCAGAGAGGGCGATGGGTCAGCTGAGGGCAGCTAACCTGCAGCAGGACTTCAACTTATATTCAGGCATAGAAGGACAAACAAACCTGGGGCTATCTCATCATGCCTGCAGCCATCTGATGCTAATATCTAAGTTCGCTCACCTCCCTGCATGAGAAACTTTTACCTCCAGACATTACTCTAAGCAACATATTAATACCTGCACCCCATGAGAAAACGAGACAAGAGAGCTTTGAGAGACGACTCTGCTGTGCAATAGGTCAGGCTGTCACTCCAGGCAGAAATAGATATGTGTATGTTGGTGTTGAACCTTAGTGGTTTTGTCAGCAGAGGTGGTTGCAAAGAGACATCCGTCTGGCGAAATGTGACAGGACAGAATAGCTCCCTGATGAGCCTCCATGTCCTGCAGTTTCTCCCCGCTCTCAATGTCCCACACCTGGTAGCGAGGAGAGGAAGGACAGATTATTTCTGGTCCGGTTTTTACACTGCTGGTAAATGTAGTGACAATTTCTGCATCTGTGTGTGTGTAGATGTCAGTTTCACCTTCACAGTTCCATCAAAGGACCAGGAGAGGAGCTTTGATTCATTTGTTGAGTCAGAGAGCAAAGAGAAACATCGGACCTGCTCCTTGTGACCCTGAAGCACTTTACACTCGCCTGATTTCCACCTCCACACCTAAATGGGATAATAAAGAGTAGTTCATCAGCTGGGGGTTCCTCCTACCAACATGTCTATTAATGACTTCTGTTATGATGATCCTAAATTCAGAAAAAAAGGGGTTGGATTATACAAATTCTTCAGAAATGGCAGTTTTTGGTATTTAATTAAAGTAATGGTTAATCTATAGCAATTTTGCACTATTTCATTGTTGGTTTTGTAGACATCTGAAAATAGAAATGAACCATTGCTTTCGAATGCAGAGCAATAGGATTACAGGGAACCACAGATAAATCTGGATGTTTAGATGCAGAGTTTGGTTTTGTTAATCAGTTTATTCTGCATGCACATATTCAGACCAGGGATTTTAATTCCAGGGATTTCTAAGAGTATAAAAACAAAGCCTTCATGTTATATTATTGGTAATAAATCTATATTGTTTAGATCTGGAACCCAGAAGAAAAAAAAGATGGACTAAAAGCTTAAAGGAATAGTACACCCAAAACATGATTAGCCTTCATTTTCTACTCACCCCCATGCTGAACAAAACTCTGGAGTACTTTTTTGATATCTCAAATGCATCTGGAGATCTGGGAGGCTTCTTGCTGTCTGCTGACATTCAAATAATGGAGGTCTATGGCGCCCGAGACAGAAAGGTCCAAAAAAGTCCACAAAAACGTGTCAATATTCCTCCATACTGCTCGTCCAATGTAATCCAAGTGTCCTGAGTGGGTAGCATCCATAATTTACTCGAAACGAAGTCATTTAGAACGTTTTAGAGCCTAAACAGTAGTGTATAGGATTTGCTAATAGCGCCCCCATGCGCGCTCACGATTCTACGGAAACCGCGGCAGACCAAACCGGAAGAAAGTGCGCATTCAGCGTCTGCTCTGCCGATAATGCAAGCGTAGAAGAAGAAATGTGCTGTTTACCTGTGCAAAGAAAGAAACAACGAAAGAAAAATGTCTGAGGACTTCAGTGTTGAGGAAGAGCATGAGTTCTTTGCCGAGCCTTTTCTCTATGAACCAGAATACACAGATGACGAACTTAGAGACATGGATGAGGCAGCCGCAGCTCAAGCTGAGCCGCAAACACCGTTGTGCTACAGACGTAGAGCGTCAGAAACATGGTGGTGTAAATGTGGAAATTGTCAAGCAATGCCAACAGAAGAGGAGAGCATTTGCTGTGTGGACTGGGACTTGTTGATGCCACCACTGGAGGATCTAAATATCTCCACTGATGAGACCGAGAGCACTAGCCAAAGACTTTGTGTCACCCAAAACACGGATTATCCACCATTACTGACCCGTGGCGTTCTGGAGATGTTTTTCCATGTGCCCAAAATCAATTGGAAAAAGAGGCCAAGACCCGCAGGACCAAACAACACGCTCTCTGCAGAGTAAGTTTTGTGCAACAGGCCTATGCCTTGCTAATAATGTTATTATATATATCATATATATGATCTATATATATATATATATGATCTATATATATATATATGATCTATATATATATCACATATATATATGATATATATATATATATATATCATATATATGATATATATATATATATATATCATATATATGATATATATATATATGATATATATATATATCATATATATATATATGATATATATATATATCATATATATATATGTTATATATATATATGATATATATACATAATGTTAATGGTACTCACTGTGCAGTTTTTTGTATGTGATGCTAGTACTAAAGTCTGTTTACTCAGCATCTTACCCAGGTTGTGTGCTGGATGAGATACTGCCATATTAATTTGTACTACTTCATTGTATTTCATATTTTTTCCCAAATCACAAACCTATACTGCCTCATTATAGATATCATTTCAGAATTTATGTAGCCGATAACTGTAACCTTTCCTGTACTATTGTGTTGTTTTGGAAATAAACAAAATGACTTTGGATGGTAAGAAAAATGTAACTCTGTTCCTTTGATTAAATATTTATTCTAGACCTAAGTGTGAAATGCAGACAAGCCAACCACAAACACATGCCATTTTATTTCAAAATGTCATGTTATAACTATATTAAGTAAACCCCTTATCAGACTCTGTATCCCAGAATTTTGAAAAAAAAAAGAAGGTTAAAATTACATGCCACCAGCTAGACTTTTTATTTGCATAATTACAAATATAAAAAGGCAAGAGTAAAAATACTGCACCACTCAGACTAACTGCTGTATCGGGAAGTATGTTTTTGTATGGCTTCCTCTTTGGCAGGCTTTGGTTTCTGAGCAATGTTTTCTGGTATGGGAGGGATAGAAACATATGACTGGGGGTCTTTGATCTTGATGTTGGGGTCCAGGCGTCTCCGCACAACTTGCACCACCAGATTTTGCCGGAATGTTTGTGTTGTTGGAACATAGATCTTTTTGGCGACCCATTCTTTTGTTTGTTTTGGGTAAACCACATTGAACCGTGCTTGTCCTAAAAAACAAAGAAGAAAATGTAAGACAGAGGAAACATTAATGAAATAACATAGCTATTATAAAGCATTCAAAAAGTTTCGGTTTTAGGTTTCAAAAAAGGAACCAGGAAATTGTATCCAAATAATTAGAAATCTGGTACTTGTAATTTTGTGGTGGTGAGAATTAGGACCATAAAGTACCATATTTGTTATGCAGATCTTAGTGCAGCAGCTCACTAAACAGGTGCGGTTCCCATTGAAGGTTAAATGTAATGTTTGCTGTTTTTTCAATACAGCTCATTTTGAGGACATAAATGAGTATATGACACTGAGCAAAGCGCACAAGGTTAGGTTTTTTTGTTTTGAATATACTTTCTTGTTACCTGTGTTGGTGTAGGCCTGTTCACGCTGAACATTTTCATTGTGGTCCATAACGGCAAGCTGGGTGCGAGCTTTCATTGTTGAGTAGTGGAAGTGCAGTCTCTTCTCTGTGTATTTCAGCATAGATGCATGGAATACTTCAAGCTTCCCTGAGAAAACATAATAATGACAAGTTCACTAAATATTAAAAATTTTGAATTTCTCATTATTATTGTGCTTTCCTCGTTATATTTACCAGTATGTTTGAAAAGGGCCATTTGCCTAAGGTCTTTCATGAGTCCTTTGTCCAGGGCAATAGCTGTCAGGGCTTTGAAAGCGTAAGAGTCTCTCCTTAACCACCTCTTTCGCCTCTGTTCCTCTGACGTAAGGTCAGCATGCACACATTTAATCTCCTGTCCATCTTCCTCCCAGCGGTGCACACCACAGATGTGATGAAGTAGTGCTTTCCACTTCCTTATCAAATCCTGAGGATATTAGAAAATTACAATTCAGTATCAAAGAGAGTAAACGGATTGTGTCAAAGACTATCAGTTATTATTATCATAACTTTATGTTGCCTAAATGTGAAGAATGTGATGTTACTCACATCAGGGTCACCTCCACAAGTGGAACAGGCGTACCACAAGTGATTGCAGATGGATTTTATCCATGGTTGCAGGTCTCGGTTGTCCTTTTTGTTGGATGCTGACAGCAATTTTTTCATTAGCCCTACCAAAAACAGAACAATCGTCAATGAGTCTCAAGCAAGCATAAAATATGGCAACTGGAGTAAACGTGTGAGTAGAAGATGTTTTGTCTCTCATCCAAGAAACTTATTCCTTTATAAAATAGTCTGGTTGGGGAGTACAAGAAATGTATCCACCAGGTGTATGGTGGCAACGTCACTGAGGTGGCACTAAACGTTAGACAGGGCATGTTGTTCATACAGGTGGATCAAAGATTTTGGGAAGGATCAAGGGAACCAGGTGTTAGAGACAATATTGCTTTGTTGTTTTGAAAAAAAGAAAGGAGTGTGAGCTTTTTAAAACATTTAATTTACCTTCTGGGATAAATAAAGTATTTTTCATTTAATTTAATTTTAACGACAATGGGGAGCTCAGGGCTCAGAGAGTGTAGGTGATTGGAGATGTACAGTCCAAACAGACTGCACTTCTGCACATGGGTGACGTCAACATAGTCTTGGTGGGTATGAAGTACAAGGTGGGAGCAGGTAATAGAGGAGTGTGGGATCACAATGGGGCTGTGTATAACCTAGGCAGGTGCCAGCGCTTTGGCAAGGGAGGGGTAAATTATGTAAAAGTTTATGTGGCTGTACAAGGGCTATCCAAAGTATATTGTAAAAACATTTTCCTCATTATAGTAATTCCTTTACCATTGTACATTTACAAATTACAATTTGTCAGCTTACCCTTGACAACATGCCAGATGTCAAACTCATGGTGGATTTCCGGATACTCTTCGCGCATAATTTTTCGTATAGATGGTGATCGGTCAGTGGTTACCACCTCCACTTCAAGACCTTGCTCAAGGAGATAATCAAGTCCTCTCCTGAACCCCACTGGCTCCATGGCAGCAGAGCTGGATGCCTCTGTCACCTGTACCACAAAACAAAAAATTAATGTTTAAAATCATTTTCATACATCTTTGATGGGACAGTGCTTGTCATAATCCGATAGCAACATTGATTTTGTAATATGTTCCACATATTAGACATACATTTATTTACTTCTTTAATTTCATTCCGCACATGATGAAAATGAGAAACATTACCCCAAAAAAAAGGAAGAAAAACAATATAATAAATGCACCAAAATTGATAATAAATACAATAGATAATAATAATATTAAAAAAAAGATACAATAAAAAAAGAAAACTGAAAATAGATAAATATAGAAATTTAAAAAATAATGTAGGCTACATTTATCAAATTGAAGAACGAAAACAAGTGGGATTAAGTACAAAACCAAATTCAATCCCACCCTTTAAAAAAAAAACATATACATAGATCACAGTCTTCCGCTTCACAATTATTATTTGCCAATTAGAATGACCAAAATCCAAATAAAACTACAAAATATATGCATATGTATCTTTGTGCAGTCAATTTGTAAACACACAATTGACAATTGTTCTCATATTATGTTGTAATATGAAATATGAAATAATAATTTCCCTTACCTGCACTAACTGAAAAATGATTATTTCCTTTGTTGTGTCCTCCATGAAGCTGTAGGTGTTGTATTTTGCGGAGAAGCCTGGGCTGTAAAGACAAAAAGATAAATAGGCTATCAAATCCAATATTACATCAATTACTCTAACGATAACTTCAGATAATCAAGAGTTAAATATTTGTCATTCATTATAAATAATATACTAACCTGTCTGATCGGCCATCTCCAGATACATGCACTCCCTTTTTCAGAGTATACTGTTTATGCAGTAGCTGTTCCATGATGGCCTTGTGCTGCTCGTTGTACACCATGTCGATGACTGGGATTAGATATGAAGACTGTATTTTGTAATATGTTGTATTGTTGGGAATTTGGAGATTCAGCAGTCCAGCCCAATCAGCAATTGTTGTGTACGTGGCACCAGTGAAGAGAGTTGACGCTGCTACAAGTAGATTATTCTCTGGCATCCCTCTAACATCTGGACAGGAACTCCACTCATCACTATGTTGATTCAGACACTCCCACAATATTTTGATACAGCTCCCAGATATCTGAACATTTTTTTGAATGATTTCTGTTCCACACTGATGGCAAGTCTTGAAAAGCTGAAACAATTTTGACTCGTCAACCAGCCATTTCCTCTCATCCCAGGTTCTCAAGTCTTCAGTTTCTTCTGAGGTTGGAGTTGAAGTTGATGTTGAGCTTGGAAGAGCAAAACTGGTGTCTTTTGGGTCTAGAGGAACACCAATTGAGGTCATGCTGACATCCAAACCTTCCTCCAAACGTTCCTCTGACATCTGAGCTTGCATATCCTAAAATCAACAAAATAACCATTAGACTTGTTGAAGAAGTTATATTTACTTGCTTTAAGCCACACATAAGCCGAAACTGTAACTACTAGATTTGCCATAGCAGCCAGTGGGTGAGTACTTACAGTTTGAGATAACCTTGTGGGGGGGAAGGCATGATAACTGCCAGATGTGGATGGACATGTGCGTTCTTTGGTTGTTTCAGGGCTTGTTAGGACCAGCTGCAGTCTTGCATGAGAGTGCTCAGGTCGATCACCAGGTTGTTTTGGTTTAACTGGAGTGGAGTGTGGCACATCATCAAAAGAAGTCTCAATGTTGGCTGTCTCAGTCACTGCAGCAGCAGGATGTTGTGAAATGCCCTAGAAACAAACACTATTATTAATAATAAAAAATAATCATGCTATGATTTCATATGAGCAAATAAAAGTTGCAGCATCTAAGAAAGACTATGTGGCAATGAATGTCATTCATTTCACTTTTTTATTTATTTATTTATGTATTTTAAATCATGGATCACATTAGTATTTCCCTGGGTGCTAAAAGTTTAGTTATTATCATCCAGATTTTTATTTTTTATTAACTCCTAAACACTAACAACTTGCAGGCCATCAATGATCACATTGATTGATCACAAAATTAATATAATGTCACACTGAGCTGTGGAGAGGGTGTTTGTCAATAGGTGGGTTGTACATACATACAGTGTAAAAAAAATCCGTCTGATAACAAAGCAACTAAAATAACATGACTTGTAAAAAATTCCATGATTGTCCAAATTGATGTGGAAGTTAACATTTTTACTCAAGTAATATTAGCGTGTTTTAACATTTTAACGTTTTTAAAAAAAGTACCGGTAAAAATACAGATCATATACAAACGTGTAAGTTACATAAATGGTTTATAAAGTACATACCTCTGTCCTTAGTTGTGACACCATCGGCACAGCTGTACTCTTTAATAAAGCTCTTCCTTTACAGGTTCGGAAATCATCCGCTGAAAAGTGTTCACTACAGACACGGAGAGAATCCACGTTAGCTGTCCTTAGATCTTTTCGTAGAGCTATTAGCCACAGGTTTAGCCTTTCAGGGTCCCGAAGAGGTAATTTGTGGAAAGTTACGGAATGGGTTATTCCACACTGCCGCTTCATCTGATTGAAGCATCCAGGATAGGAACACACTCGAACCATCTTCTTAATTTCACGACTAAAATCACTAATCAGCAACTTTTTCAAACTCTGAGAGAGACTGACCTCGTGCTCACCTGGCTCAGGGCAGAAAATAAACAGGTGAAAAGCGGAACTTCTTCTTCTACGCTTGCATTATCGGCAGAGCAGACGCTGAATGCGCACTTTCTTCCGGTTTGGTCTGCCGCGGTTTCCGTAGAATCGTGAGCGCGCATGGGGGCGCTATTAGCAAATCCTATACACTACTGTTTAGGCTCTAAAACGTTCTAAATGACTTCGTTTCGAGTAAATTATGGATGCTACCCACTCAGGACACTTGGATTACATTGGACGAGCAGTATGGAGGAATATTGACACGTTTTTGTGGACTTTTTTGGACCTTTCTGTCTCGGGCGCCATAGACCTCCATTATTTGAATGTCAGCAGACAGCAAGAAGCCTCCCAGATCTCCAGATGCATTTGAGATATCAAAAAAGTACTCCAGAGTTTTGTTCAGCATGGGGGTGAGTAGAAAATGAAGGCTAATCATGTTTTGGGTGTACTATTCCTTTAACAAATGGATGAATGGATAACAGTTTATTTGAACGTAGAAAAGGTTTAAAACATCAAAACATATTTTTAACCTTTTTTTTTGCTTATTTATGCAGTTCTTGAAGCAAATTAATTCAGTCTTTCTCCACAGGAAACCTTAAAAAAAATACGCAACCAAAATATTCTATTGATAATTTCGTTGTGTTTTAGACAAACTCTCCAGCTTTTGCCTAACAAAAAATTGTACAACAGAAAGTTTTAATAGTTTTCACCCTGATGACGATGATCAGTCTTAAAACTTTACCCAAATATCTATTGCTGATAATCAGAATTAGATCTATATTTGCATATGCAGCCTAAAAGTAAACACAAAAAGCATACATGGTGACAATTCTGAACTTCCAGATCAGCTGTATTTTGCACATCAGCAGATAAATCAGCAGAAACTGGGAAGCATCTGAACTCCTAGATGGCCAAGGCGAAGAAACAAGGACCGAGCCATCATATCCCGCCGCACACGCTTCCCTTTTTTCCCTCCTTTATTGGTCTGAAGGTTAAAATCCATCATTGGTTTCCATTTAAATTCACTTTGCATTTGCGTTACCATCTAAGCACACACGTCCATTTCCTCGTGAGCGCATGTCAAGCTGCACGAATCTGAATATTTTCTGAATAAGCAGCGGACGGCCTGAGAAGAGAGATGCTGCAGGCGGCAGCCGGATGAATACAAAATGAGGCGGCGTGTTGGTAGAAAGGGGGGTTGGAGTGCTGCAGTGGAGGGGGTCCGTGGGCAAAACCGAAATATGGAGACGAAAGGAAAGAAAGGGATGAGAGGAAAAATGAGCAGCAGAGCATAAATGGTGAGGTTGACAGAGCGGAACAGCCTCACATAGCCACACATACAGTATTCAGATATTTACTGAGGCAGAGAAGGGAACAAGAGGAAGAGCTGAAAGGAAAAGAGGAGAGGCCAATGAATAAGTTTAACAGGTGGGGGGGTTAAAACATCAGATGAATGAGTGAGTGCAGACGGTATTTTCCTCAAGGGGAAGGATCGGAATGAGGTGGGAAAACTAATCAATAGCTGGGAAGAAAAATTGGAAGCAAGTTGGGAGGGAGAAAATGTCCCATTAAACACAGGAAATTAAAGTCTGTGTGTGTGTGTGTGTGTGTGTGTGTGTGGGGTGGGGGGGTGGCGGGGGGATTGATGGAGAAGGGGAACAATTAGCAGGCACAACAAAATATGGGCTGAGCGTAGCCTACCCTTATGGTGGCGTCCTCGGATGAGGTGATGAGTGTTTGTCCGCCGTGGCAGAACTGGCAGTGAAGCACCGTCTTAGTGTGTCCCAGCAGAGTGGCTAAAAGCTTCCCAGAGGGAAGCTCCAACACCTGGAAGCAGCAAACATTAGCCCATCAAAGACTCATCACATCTGCCGCAGTTTGGATATGAAGGACTGGGCCACCTGAGCTGTACATGCTTGAGTCTTTTACCTAAAGTTTATGCTTCATATCAGACAAAAACAAATGTTAAATTTAATGGATCTTGATGATTCACCTGTTATATTACTTTTGCAACACACCAACTTTACTTTTAAAGCACTTATATAAAAGAAATAGGTAAAAAAAAAAAAAGTTTAAAATAATTCCTTTTTTTGGATTTGTTTATGAATAAGAAAGATTTAAAAGGAAAAAAATAAGAAATACAGGAATATAAAAGCCAGACTCTCAGAAGGTGGAACTTATGATTATTCTTTTGTTTTATAGTTTTTATTTTTGTTTTAGTCAAAATACTGTGAAATAGTGATATTTTTACTACAGGTTATAATACAGTATGAACTTGATAATGGGCCGTATCTGAAAGCTCATGCTTACAAGCTATTGTGTAGAAGTCATTCTGATGCTTTCGAGTGTTTTAAAGCCAAGAAGATTTTGTTTCAAAGCTTTTAAAACACAGATTTAACTCGGTAAATATCAATTTATCGAAACATTTCTTATAATTTCATCACCATTATTGTTTATTGTTAAAAAAGATCCTCATTAGCTGTCACCAAAAGGGGGGCGTCTTCCTGAGGTCCACAAGACAAAACAAAAATCACTTAGCAATTAAACAATTACTTAAAAATCAAACATTATAGACATTGTAATAGATGTATTTAGAAATAATTCCAATTAATTATTACATCCATATCCATTACATTAATAAGAATTAATTCACATTAATTTTCATCGTTTTTAAATCTGCATTAAACCCTTTAATGGTTTGCTCTACATTTCTCAAGGCTTTTTCTTTCCTCTCAAATGTCTATTAATGTGCTGATGAAGCCTGTCAATGATTGATTGTCAAGTCATCTTTCCTGTGAGTGTCTCCTCATGAATGTTTGGATTTTCTCCAGGTACTCTGGTTTTCTACGACTTGGTGGTGCTAAATTTAAGGATGGCTTACAGTTCTTATAAAACTGGGTGCATCCGGGAAGCTCAGACACCTGGAGTTGTTATCAACAACTCTGCTGGTAGCAGCATGATCTGGCCAGTCAGTTTAAAACTCAAATATCTAATATTTTTCCTTAACCTAACTATAAAGCGACATCTATGTTGCCTCTGAGGGAAGAAGTCTGCAAGTTAACCATTATCAATATAAGTGAGGAACTTGAAAACAAGGTCAAAGGAAGCCCAAAATCTGTAAGGACTTAATTTCAAAGGAAATCCCTTCCTACTGAGAGATTTTGGCTTTTATTCAGTTCTACTGCTTTGCTGTGATACAATAAAGCTTCTGACGGTTCACTTCCTGTTTCAAAGTTTCCTATTTTTATTCTTTTAGGCTTTCAACCTCAGTCTGCTGTAGAACATGCTAGATTTGGAAATGTTAGAGGCCTCAAAGTTAATGCAGCTTTTCTTGGCAGCGAACACACAAAGTTCTGCTTAGAGTAAGCATTACTAATCTAAACTCAGAACCCAAAGTTAGCTTTAAATGTTACAGTAACTTAAGGCCAAAACACACCGAATCCGATTTTGCGTCTGATCCGACAGAAAATCGTGCCGGCGTGGTTGTGGCGTTTAGCGCTTATTGAAAGTCAATATGGATGATCACACCAGGCACGATTTCATGCAAGTGGGCTGCGCAAGTCCAACTGAGCTAGACCTCAGGTCTATTTAAGTCGGACTATGCAGCAATTCAGCAGCATTTTCATGGGTCTGACAGGAAGGGAGATGTGGTTACAAATTAAAACACATTCGCTTTGGGGGACATAGAAAATAAAATCTGGTAATCACAGAGGAAAACTGCCAGTTTTGGAATCGCACATCACGTATATAGTGAGCCAGACAGATTTGCGCAAAAAAAATAATTATGAAACATTAAAATTTATAATATAGGAATATTAACATTCTATATCTGTTCTGGTTCAAGATGCTGCAGAGACTCATTAGGTGGGGCTTTGCTTTATAGATTGTATAATTTTTCATAATATGTCCAATGTAAATGTGGGTTATTGTTTCACTTTATATAACACAAAGACAATAGTAAAAAAAAAAAAAAAAAAAAAGACAGATCTGCCCACCCCGCCTAGTCGGAGCCTCTCTTTACGCATTCAGTAGAAAAAAAAAATTTAAATAAATGGTAGGGAATGAAAAAGTCGTGCGTAACCGATGTGTTCAGGCCTTAGTAATCATTTGGTCCCAGTTTAAAAAGCATAGTAAAATTCTGCCTCTGACATGAACTCTGCTTAAGAAGGCTTGCAGCAAAAATAAAATGTGTACATTTTTTTTTCTTTAAGGAAATAACCTTACAATAAAGTTTCTTTCCATTTAAAAGCAGAGAATCTATGCCAGTCATGTTTAGCAAACAGTAACATCTGATATTAATTATTATTTGTTGAAGACGATTAATAAAACAGACATTTATAAGTTAAAAGTGAATCAAACTATGCCAAACAGGGTGGGCTGTAAGCCATAGCTTATATAGCCTGAAGGATAACATATGGTCAAAAAGCCCCTTTGGCAGCAGAACCTCTGGTTCAGTTCCAAACTAACTGGACGTCAATCCAATGTCCTCCTTCCAAACACTTCTTGCCCATCTTTACTATATTTTTGGAATAAAATCTACCATCCAGTTACACAACTACCGTCTACAGCACATCACATGTGGGTCTGGGTAAACTAAGGAAAAATAAACATAACATTTCTTTGTTTCTACCAGGCTGTAAAATATTCAGAACTCACATGAGAGGGTTGAAACGTCTGAGCAGACAAAGCCTAAGGCCATGCTGAGCCATTCCGTCAAACTTCAGGTACTGGCACGCAAGCTGCGCACAATAAGTGCGGATGCTGTGGGACGTTTCTAAAATGTCTTAGTTGAGGATTTCCAGAGTGACGCAAGAGAAAATACAACAGAGCAAAAAAGGATTTTACAAACAACCGTGGAAAAAAAGCTGCAACCTTTGAAATCTTTCACTGTCAGGTTAAACTTTAGTGTTTTACTGGGTTAAAAATCAGAAAAGTGAGCCTTGATATCTATTTGGCACCCATGAGTCAATTCTCTATAAAAACAACCTATATCTATGGTAACACTTTAAAATAACGCCCTACTTTGTGTTTAACTAACAAATGAAAGTACTCCACAATAATCTTAAAGAGTAATGGGTTGCACCATCACAAATTGTGAGAAGGCGGCCAATTTAAAGCAGGAAAAATTATAAATAGGTGTTATTTAATTTTACATAAAGGTTGAAACAAGGTGGGAAGAAGTTTGTTCTGCAAGATTAGATATACATAGATTTTCTCTATTATTAGTCTTTAAAAAAAAGCAAAAACAAGTCTGAGAATTAACTCTTAAATGGCCAAAACCAGAAGACTTCCTACTCTTTCTCTATCATACGATACCTGCACCCTGCCTGTGCACTGAGCTACAGCCAGCAACACCTCCCTGTAGGAGGTCAGCAGTCGACGGATCCTGCAGCCAACTGTCCTCAGCACCTGTCTAGCTGTCAGCCCTGACACCTGCCACACAACACAAGATTCATTCCTACTTACTGGAAGCACACAGGCACACTGTTCTCTGCTGCACTTTTTCACTAAAAGCTTCCTTTTTTTGTTCTTCAGCAGAACAAGCTGACATCTGAGAATGTCACCAGAAAATATTGCTAATTTTCATCTGGTGCATTGGTTATAAATGTGGCAGGATGAGGAAGGGTAAGCAATGCAGTAATTTGTGGCCGCAGGACTCGATCAGAGGGCGCCACCTGCTGGTAGCAAATACAGACATAATTACAAACTGGAAAAGTAAATCTAATTCATCTTATATGAGAGTTTAGAGCTGCTAATAAATTTGTTTCCTGTTAAGTCTTTTAAAACATATTTTGATACATGAGCCTGATTCCAAAAACTGCATAAAATGTTCTGAAAAAGCAGGAGAATCACAGCAGTTTGAGTATCGATGTAACAGCCGCAGGTCTGAATCCTTTAATGGAACAGTTTAAAGTTTAATTTTCTTTTTTTCCTGGCAGGAAAAGGTTCTCGCCTCTCCAAGGTCAAAAGATCAACCATCCGGGCTCCTGTTTCATTAATTGCTCCATTAATTATCTCTAGGGTCAGGAGCATGGAGAGGGGGACAGAAAGTTCCAGAGAGGAAGAGTAATTAAAATGCAGAACGTCTTCAGGACCTCTTAAATAATTAGCACTGCTCTCTGCTGCAGGACGCTCGCTATGTCACTACATTCCAGTCTCAGGAGACTCTGCCTGTAGAAAGGTTTTATTAAGAGGGTTAACTTTAAGGGGGCGTCCAAATGGGCGAACCCAAATGAACACAAAGAGCCACATACAACACTAGGATTCTAATCACTGCAAACAATGATGGCTACACAACAGCATTTGGGAAACAATAGGTGCTGAAGTTCAATAGCTGCTCTGCAATAGCTGCAAAAACTCTTGGCTAGATGCTGAAACTTTTTCAGAAAAAGAGACAAAGTCCAGTTGCCTCCGATTTAAGCACGCTTCAAGGTTTCTTTTGAAACTGGAGGCCAAGCAACCAGATCTAATTATACGAAGCAGTTGTAGAATGCATAACGATCAGTTTATGTAGATTAATTTTCCATATTTAGACAGAAGTACATACCAAAGGTGTAGACATAAGCAGTCTAATTATTGTCCTGCTAATTATTCACCTGCAATTCTCCATTCTCTTGTCCAAGCAACACCGCGGATGGATTCCTGCACAAACACGTACATCGGATCCTAGATGGCAACTCTTCCGACTGGAAAAGAACAGATCCTGTTCTGCCGTCCCGCACCTTTGACACAAACAACACAGGATAATAATATATCCAGGCACAGCTTAGGTTGGTGTAAATCAGTTCTCCTCACTGCTCACCTGCAGTCTGTTGCAGTTGTCTGCAGCCGATACGATAATTTCCTCATCATGAAAAATAACGTCTGAATCTCTCTTCAGGCAGATGGCTGAAGACGTGTGGACCTTCTTGGTCTCCCATAACTGCAACACAGTACAAAATAAATACATGTGAAGCCTTATTTGATCTTTCTCCATGAAAGTAAAGCAACCATTTAAATTAGGTCAGAAACTGCCCCTAAATGTGTCCCTTTATTTACTGTGGCCACAGAACAGCTAAATTCTGAATCTGCTGTTCAAAAGTTCACACCCAATATACCAGATTAAACTGAAGAGCTCCTTAAAGATCTATTTCTACTTCCATGCAGATGATAAATTATTCCTTTATTAGGGGTTTAAAAAACTGTAAGTATATATTCTTATCTTTTCTTTTTTGAATTTTGTAATTTTACTAATTTATCACCCCAATTTGGAGGCTTTTTGTTTCATAAGGTTTAATGTTTTTTGTGCCGACTATAAACTTTTAGTTAAATCAAGGTGAACTGATAGTACAGATGATAAAATAAAGAAACAAGCAAAACTTGTCAGTTATAGTTGGTCTACGTTATTATGAAATAGGTGGAGATGGTAAAGACTAAGAGAAGAGAAACATTTTCTTATCTGTTGTAGAATAAAAAATAAAAAAACAGACGTAAATTTCAAGTTTAAACACCCAAAATAATAAAATAGTGAAGGTTCTACACCTTTTTACATTAACGTTACATAGCTTTCTCAAACGAGCAGAGTACTCAAGCCTTTTTCTGTCATATTTAAGAATAAATACAAATGTTCACAATGTTTTATGGAATATATTTCTACAAAGGTAAGACTTTAAATATTAAACCTACCAAACCATAGAGAAGAAGCAATGCAAGAAAATGTGAAGAAAAGAGAAACTCTTCTGACTTATTCTCAGGTGGAGTCCAAAGAACAGATTTCCTCTTTGATATTTAAGAAAAGTCATTTGGAGCATCATCAATGGACCAGATTCTAATAGCCCACTTCTCTCTTCCTCGACCTCAAAGTTACAGACACCAGCATATGTAATGTTTTAAATACGAATGCTTAAAAAAAAAAAAAACAAAAAAAAAAAAAACACAGGCCTGACATCACATCAGCTTTTCCCTGAAAGGTATCTGCAAGCATTTAAAACTGATTAGTAAAATGCAGTGAGACTAAAAAGTTGTTCAGCACACATAAAACACCTAACTATCCAGCTATGATGGACAAACACCACGGAGCAGACTGTGGGATGTTCCAGTCCGCTCATTAACATTTAGACAATGAATATTAAAGTATTTCTCAACATTGTTTTATTTTCAGACCTTAAAAAATATCTAAATCTCTTACATTATTTTGTTTTACTCTATTCCAGGTTACCTTGTGACGCTCAGTAACAATAAAACTCTGATCTAAATATCAGACACCAACATCACTAACTTAATCTGACCTCTGTTTCACCATGGAGACGCGTCACGTAAGAAAAGTCTCACCCTGACTGTCTGGTCGTCGGAGCAGGAGAGCAGCTGTGAGCCGTCACTAGAGAACTGAACCCGTTGGACCCAGCTCAGGTGGCCGCTGCAGTCGGCCATCTTTTTGTTTTCTTCCAGATCCCACAGCTTGAAAGAAAAAATAAATAAATAAAAAGTAATACTTCCAACTCAGACTTTTTTTACTTAAAGTTTTATAAAACATATCTAACCTGCAACATATTCACAATACCCCTTCATTTAAGTATAAAAGGTTAAAAATAAGCCTAAATCATTTGCAATAAAGCAACTTTTTATTAAGCATATTTAACAGAAAGTGTTATAAGAGTGTTTTAAAAGTATAGTGGAGGATGTTCTTTTTCCAAGTTGATCATCAAAATAATTGGTCCTCTAATTGTCAATCATTCTTGTGATATGTTTACATAACTATGTGCTCATTCCAATTTAGAGTCTGACAGTGAAAAAAGTGCAAATCTTTTGGAAACAGGAACTTTTAATTATAGCGTGCATGAGGAGAAATGGGCTCCTGCATGCTCTCACATGCGTTTAATAGGCGTTCCCTCTCGGGAGCAGGTACAGGGTTGTACATGTGCATTTTTTAAAATAAAAGTGCAGAGGGCAGGTCTTTTAAAAAATCTGAGAAAAATCCATCGCCCTACCTTCAATCTAGAACAATTCAAAAGGTCAGAGAATACAGAGAGGATTATTTTTTGTATTCTATCTTACGGCACCAAACTGCCCTCTAACAGGGTAACCAGGTCCCTGAGGGGCTTTTCCCCAAAACCTTTATGCAGACATCCCCTAAATTCTTTATCAACAAAAAGATCAACCTTAGTATTATCTGATCAAAGAACATAGTTTCAGTTATTGTCCACAAAGAGTTTAGAAAACAACTTCTGTCTAGATGGTAAAACAATGTGGATTTATCGTCTTAAACAATCTCTTTTTTAGAGGAAAAATAACAGGATGCCAATTTAGTGCTTGGACATATGTAGATGTTATTAAGCATGTAAGCATTTTACCTCCACAGCATAATTAGAGAATGCTAGTGCCAGCAGGTTACTGGTAGGACAAGCATGACAGTATTGGACCGTGCTCAAACGATTAGTCCTGATCTCCAGCAACATGTCTGACGTCTGGACATCAAACACCTAAGAAACAGGAAGACAACATATCAGTGTCTAATCTCACCTTAGATTTTATTCCATTTAAAGTGAAAACATACATGACATTAATCATAAAATGCTTAGCAGGTGTAAATTCACGTTGATTTGCATTCAAAGTTTCTCATTTTCGGTTTAACTCTCACCAAAACTGCATTTCTGGCGGCACATATGATGCGTGTCCCGTCGCCGGTCCAGGTGCTGCATTTGACAAGCACTTCCTCATTTTCGCTTTCTGAAAAGAAGCTCTTCACGTCGATCGTCTTCCATTCATTGGCTGATGAAACCTGGAACAACTGCATTAGCAAGCATACTGTTTGTTAATATAAAACGACTGCAAAACGATCAAAGCTGTAAGCTGAGCTGAAGTGGTCCAGTTTTGAGATATTTTAAAGGAGAAGTCCGGTCATATTCAGAATTCAAACTTGTGAAAGTACTTTAAATATGAAATTATTACATACTGCTCAATAAATGATAAGTGTTTTTAATCAAGAGTAATTTTCATTTGAATGTGCTTTTCTGGAGGTATCCATGTTTGTCAAAGAACACTACTGCCACCTACCGTTTGTGACGTCACGGTGCGGTATCGGCTGTATCTGGTGTTTGTCACAACGCGCTATTATCTAAGTCATCTTGAAAACATTTTTCTTCTAAATGTTGGCTGCATATTACACGTTTTTTCTCTGGCCAGAAGTTCGATGGCAAATCCTCCCTCTTCAAGTTGGCAATCCAACAATGAACCCGTCCGTGGAGGATCAGGAATCGGAAACGTGAAATAACTAGTTTTTTCTTCACTTTTACACAATGTATTACAACATCCAACTGCCATTCATGTGGGCATTGTCAGTTTAACTATAGCTATTGCAAATTTCAATGGTGAAGTCCTCTGGAAATCTTCAATAACTGTTGTTGATTGCAGATGTGTCTAGTAGTTCCCATTGATTTTGCTTGTAAAGAAGGGAGAATGGCGCTAGGCTTACCGCACCGTGACGTCACTGCCGGAAGATGTCAGGAGTGAGGGGTTACTATATTTGGGCAAAAATGGCCGCTCCCAGACTCAGTGATCAGGATGAAAATTATAGTTTTTTTTTTTACTGATTAATGCAATATTCATTAAATAACCGCAAACGTATTAATTTTAGGTATAGATAATGACCCATTGATTATTCCTTGCTGACCGGGCTTTTCCTTTAAGATTGAATAGAAATATCCACCTTAACGGTGCCGTCATTGGACGAAGTGGACAGATAACTATCATCTGGGGAGAAACAGCAGTGGTTCACTGGCTCAGAGTGACCAAACAGTGTGTTCTGCGAGGACGGCTTGTTCAGATTCCAAATCTAAAACCAAAGAGTTTGCAATGTGATCACTAAAGTAAAAAATAAATACATTAAAATAATACAAAGCTTTAATGAAACCCAAATATAAGATTTCACCTTTAACAAGCTGTCGTTTGAGCATGTGGCCAGTAGGAGGCGCCGTGTTGTGTTGGTAAATTCACAGTGGTTGACCTGCTCCTCATGCTCTTCAAAGACCCTCAGTAGCTTGCCTTGCTGTATGTTCCACAACTATAGAAGATCATCCAAAATTAAATGGACCCTAAATCGCAGCATTTTACTGCTGTCACTCATTGGCTGCTTTGGTATAGTGTGTCGCACCAGGCCTGAGCCCCTCACCTTGACTTTCCTGTCGCTTGAGCAGGTTGCTAGAAGACGGTCATCGGGGGAGAAGGCGCAGCAGAGGACTTCTTCATCATGGGCCTGGATCTCTGAGAGTTTCTCACCAGAGGTGCTTTTAAATACCTGAAATCACAAATATATAAAGCTTTCGATCAAAATCAATGGAAATTAGATTTAAATTCCCAAACCAGAAAATAAAAAAATTATAAACGGCAAAGTCCCAAATGACTGTGAGTAAACAAATAATTAAATAAAAACAAAACTAGGGATTGTTTAAAGATATTACATTTTTCTGTTATCAGCTTAAAACATTGTTTAAAAACTTGCACAGAAATATTACATATTAAAGAGGAAAGTTTTAAATAAAAAAGAGAAATGAATTAAGTATTAAATAAATACATCAGCAACAGATATATAGCATGATTTGAATAAATATAAGTGATGAAATAAATTAACTAAGCATGCAAGGATTGTGATAAAATAAATGAATTAACAAATAAAACGACCAAAATCAGACTTTTAAACATAAATATATGTAAATATGTAAAGCAAAACGCAAATATAATATCTAATTACATTTAGAAACCAATATTAATGAAATAAAAATCATATTTTTTAAGGTGATTATTTGAGATAAAATGTTACAGAGACAGAAAGAACCCAAGATAAACAAATTATATATATACATTTATATTATTAGGACATTTATCAATGTTTAGTATTTTTCTTTCTATATTTCTGTTCTACTTCAGACATAAACCCTTATTGCTTTCTGCCTGCAGATACCTTCAGCGTCTTGCTTGCTCCACAAGAAGCGATTTTGGTCCCGTCGTGAGAAAAGCAGGCGGAGTAGATGGAGCCCAGGTGAGGGTGAATTACCAAACGGGACAAATTCTCCACACTGCTCTTATTTCTGTAATGATAGGCACACAGACAGCTCAGAAAAACAGTAACAATAGGGTTATAACTTACCACTCTTAAAGCTACAGTGTGTAATTTTCAGCGACATCTCACGTCCAGACTGCAGACTGCAGCAACATGAACATCTCCCCCCCACCGCTTCTCCCCCCCAACAGTACGGTGAGCGTTACGGGACAAAATGTCTTCCACGACGTCCGCATCACCTACCTTCTCAAGTGATGAGGTTTGTTTACATAGATAATTTTACAGATAGTATTTATTAGTATCTATAGTAGTATTTAGTATCTATTGTTCAGTACCGTCTCAGTTCATCTCTCTCAACTTGCCGTAGTTACTTTGGAGCGTAATGGGCAATCTCGCAATCGCTAGTTTGTTGGCTCTGCGCTGCCGTAGCGCAAAGATGTCTGCCTCCATGGCTGCGAAACTCGCTCCTATGTAATTATAAATAAATTCTAAGGCAACGCAAATATTAAGGTTAAGAGGCTGAGCTCGTAGATGATGATAAATAACATAGTTATGTATAATATATTAAATTTCTGACTGTATATCCCTGTAATTATTACACACTGTATCTTTAATGATCAAGTAATTAACACTGCTTACTTACATTAATTCAAAGTAGAGCTTCCCACTCTTAGCCCGGTTCAGAGCCTGCTGCCGGGCTTGTTTGTAGACCTCTGAGGAGTGTGGCTGAGACAAAGCGAGCTGCACCACGTCAGGGAAAGGACGCTGCTCCAGGCGGTGGCCGCTAAGAGACAGAAACTCCTGAAACTGGCTCCGCACTTCACTGTTCTGGAGGAGGGGAGCAGAAAGGAGAACAACTTTAAAACTTACACAAAGACAGCAGCTAAATCTGCTATATCTTCCAACCGGTTTCATGTTTACTGACCTCTTGGTCCAGAATGGGTCCGTATTCCACGTAGTCATTGATGAGATGGGCTGGTCCCATTATCTTGGCCTTGATGCAGACCCAGTCCAGCGAGAACATGAGTGAGTAGAGCTCCTTTCCGGGACAAAAAAAAAAAAAAAAGACGACACGGTGAAGAAAATAAATACTAAAGAAGTTTAAGTGTTTTATATGCAAACCTAAAACAAGTAAACAAATATGCTGGCTCAGGATCAAGGAAGATGATATCTACATTTTACCTGAGACAAATTGGCTTTAGCCATGTGATAGGTCAGAAACCGGATCCAGTACAGACATTCCTCATCTCCAGACATGGGAGGAGCCTCTCTGTAGTGATGCTGGTACTGGTGCACCACCTTGCTGTGGAGACTCTGAAATATGAAAATTTTTACCGTTAAGCTCGAAAAAAAAAAATGAAACTGTGGTTCAATCAGGTGTACTTCTATTCTAAATACTTAATGCATCTTTTTGTAAACAATAAATAATCTTTGGATCTCATTCAGCAGTGGGTGTAATCACCTGAAAGGTTTTAGCCATTTTAATTATTGCTCCGACTGCAGCTGGATTATTTCTTTTTTTATTATGGATTATTTCTTTTCTATTTATTCTCTTTGCTTTCCAGTTTGCAGACTGGTTGCGAGAAAAAGGCGTGTGTTACATCTGCACAACATCGCCAACTACCCAAAGTTACACTGTAATTAACACACCATTACATTTAGCTAAATAGAAATGGTCAAATAAGTAAGTCAGGGAAGCGACATGAACAAACAAATAAAAAAACAAGAATATGTTTAAGCTAGATTACAAATCAAGTGCTAAATGAGATGATTTTTTTTTCTAGATATTACAGGAGATCAGGTAACGGATGGTTGCAATTATCTCCAATCAATAAAAAAAAAAAAAAAAAACATCAAACTGCAGTGAAGACTCTCATACTGAAACATGGAAAACTTTCTTCTTTTTAGAGAAAAGGCAAGCAGGAATTCCAGGATTTACTGGAAAAATCCAGTTTTAAGAGAATGAAAGTTGTTTTTGTTATACTATAATCACTTTTCTGTGTTTTTTTTTGCTCAAACCTATATGATTTAAAAGGGTAATCAGTTTACACATAGTTAATGCATTTAACATGTATCAAGATCACCAGGTTAAGCTGACAGATGAGGTTTTATGATGCACATAACAGTATTTTTTAACAACATTTCTATTTGTTGTTTTTTCTTTAAGTCTACATAAGACATTTCATGGTGTTTAGGGTGGGAACAGCAAGTTTATAAGTGTGTATATGCTTGCAAGTGTCCAGGGCCTTCTACAACAGCGTGCTGAGGAGGATACAGTGACAAGTTCAACTGTTTCTAAGTTAAAGATATTTGAATAAAAATGTTAATGATGCAATTTGATAGTTAAATGCTACTATTCAGTTGTTAGTAGATAACTTGGTGTTTCTAGGAGTTGTATCTATTTTTTTCCTTTTATATATTTATATTCTTATTTGTTGTTTTTTTAAAGCAAAGTTTTCTGAAATGTAAATAGTGCATAATAAATGGAGGTACCTGCAGTTGAAAATAAAAGAAAAAAATTTAAACAAACAAAAGATTGACTCACAGATTATTCCATTCATCCTATGTAGCTGAGAGCAGACTTTATTTTGGATACGTGTAAATGTTTGACATCAACATATGTGGACTACTATATAGGCAAATATATAACTGCCATCCACTCAATATTACTGTAATATTAAAAATGTTTAATTTAAAAAGAAAACTGTAATATAATATATAATTCTACTTTTATTAATGGTGCAATATGTGTGATTCATGACATGTTGCAACTAACATCTCATTCAGATGAAAATTATGAAAAATGAATCATTTTATCTGTTTTTTGGGGGTTTTTTTTTTACTATTAACAGACAGATGCATGTTTATTGTAGAAAGTTTTGATGTGACAAAATGATAATTGACAAAATTTCAACTGTCCCCGATCTCCCCCACTTTTCTGCTAATCTCACTTGTTAAGTTTTGACATGCTTGGGATAGAAAAAAAAAAGGGAAAAAACCTCTATTTGATTTCGGTAATGCTCCACCAGGAAGTCCAGCTGCAGGTCATGAAGGTAGTACAGATGGGGTTTAGAGTTTCTGTCTACAAAAAGCAGAGATTTGTTGACAAATTCTTGGAGAATGTCTTCCACCTCCTCTGGCTCCAGATCCCATAAAACACTCAGCACCTACATGAAAAGACAGAGAGAGACTGCCTTTATTATATTGTTTTTAATGAGGGTCAATATTTCCCAAATTCTGGTTGTTGTTTTTATTTTAACCCATTTCTCTACAGATTGGTGTACAACACCGTCTTATGAAAGAAGCTGGGCCAAGTCACCATGAAGGTTTAAAAACATCTCGCTAAAGTATTCAAACCTTTTTACTTTCCTTCTTTGTTGTCACTTTAAAACCTCCTATAATCATTTTTTCACATATTTATAAGTATTTTTTGTCTTAATATTTTTCGCTAACTCATTCTAACAAAGGTGTTTTTTCAAACTGAAATAATTAATTATTAATTCAAAATAACCCACAGAGAATAACAGTTAATCACATCACATAGCACAAATGCAAAAAAAAAAATCAAGATATGGCCATGCACTTAAAACGACAAGCCAGGAAATGATACCATGAATCAGAGGAAGCAGCCAAGAGGTCTAAAGTCTAAAGAGGAGCTGCAACGATCTATAACTGAGGTGGGTGAAGCTGGTGGACTTCACGCAGCAAGGTTGGATTTCTAAAGAAAAAAGCAACCTTTGGAAGAAAGCAATTCAAATTTCTGTTTGCAGCTTTCCATAAGCTTTATAGCAGAGACCAAAACCATGCATATATTTTCTATATTCAATTACAATAGCAGGAATGGTTAGTCAATAGGAAAATAAATATAACTAGATTCTGAACAATACTGAAAGAAATATTAGTGGCTGAAATTTCAAGAAGCATACAAAAATATCTGACTTTTTTTGTTATAAGTTTCCATTTGAATTTTGTTCAGAGATTCTGTTACAAAATTTAACAGAGAAAATAACTTAAACATATAGCATGAGTCAGATTTTTAACTATAAAAGGATTCATATTTAGCACAAAAGCAATTAAAAGAAATGTTAGTGTTTGCTGTTCGCATTTAACCACAAAAGGCAACAGCTGTGTGTTATATGGAAAAAACCTTTGCAGGAATCTTGACATCCTTTTCTAGCACAGTCAGGTCTTTGTAGAGCTCCCGATGCTCATCTGGTAAAACCTCGATGCTTGCAGCCATGGCCTGATCCAAAGCATGATAGTCATACGATGTTGACTTCTTTATGCGCTTAAACTGCTTCTGCTGCAGCTGGCGGAGGTAGTAAGGCCAACGGTCGGGTTTCTCTTTGAGCAGAGCGCCGATCAGAGACACCACCAGAGGAGAGCCTGGGCAGTGGCAAGAAGCACAATTTGACTTAAAAATCTCAATTTAAGAGTGAATCATATGAAGCCCTGATGTGGGAAACAATATATACTGCGTGCCCAAAAAATACTTATTAATTAGATCCCACAAAGCACTAATGCGCAAACTTGTCTCACGATGTACTTATTTGTAGCCACAACATAAGTATAAGCTGCACATGAAATACTGATGCAGCGCACCTTCTGTAACATTAGAGGAATGAACTAACATGATACTTGGATGGAGTTTTACTATAGAACTATTGTTTTTTATAGAAGAAGAGCAGCATATTTCTCTTAATCAATAAAAGGGGAATACTAATAATCCAAGATTTCTTTTTAATACAGTTGCCAAACTCAGCCACAGCCATAACTCTGTTTAACCGTTCATCTCCCCTTCTCTTAGCAGAAATTAGTTTATGGGATTCTTTATACATAAAATTGATTATATAAAAAAATAACACTATTAGCACCCATCTAAATATGATTGGTTAATCTTTGGAAGGTGAGGCAGCATCTGAGGTAATTTTACAACCTAACTGGGTTTGGACTGTTTTGATCTAGGGCCCTATAATTTCCACGATCACGGAATCGGCAAATTAAGGTGGAATCTAGGGTAAACGCGGAATTTCTACATTTGACATGAAATTCTGTTTTTGTGTGGAAGAAGAACGTATGTCGGGGGGAAATGCACACTGGGGGACGCAAATCTGGGTGACACAACCCCTCCAACTCAGCCTCCCCCATCAAAACATTGAAAAAATGGCGAAGTGGCTCTCCACAGCTCCGCTTTCGGCGAAAAAGTTGAGAAACACTTGCTTACATACTTGCTGTATTTTGCCTTGTTTTTTATGCACTTTAATGTACTGAATAGAAAATATGATTCTTTATTAAATACTTTAGAATTCTGAAATTGAGAGGTCCTATTTAATTTTTTTACTTGAAAAAGCTAATGGAGCACTTTTTTTTATAACCATTGGTTCATAACCATTAACATTTTGTTAGTACTTAGATTGCATTGTTATGTTGCATCATGCAGTAAAAGTACTAAGTAAATGTGTTTTTTTTACCTCAAATTTAAGGTCATTCCTATTTTATTTGTGTAGATTTTAATCATTAACATTAAAAGCACATTCCTTTTACGACTGAAATAACAGTAAAGGGTAAAAAAACTGAATTCGCAAAAATTAAAATGAAAAAAAAAACAGAATTTTCAAAAATTAAAATGGAAAAAAAACAGAATTTTCAAAAATTAAAATGGAAAAAAAACAGAATTTTCAAAAATTTGGGAAAAAATAAAACGGATTTTGGGAAAAAATAAAACGGATTTTGGGAAAACATAAAACGGATTTTGGGAAAACATAAAACGGATTTTGGGAAAACATAAAACGGAATTTGGGAAAAAATCAAACGGAATTTGGGAAAAAATCAAACGGAATTTGGGAAAAAATCAAACGGAATTTGGGAAAAAATAAAACGGATTTTGGGAAAAAATAAAACGGATTTTATAGGGCCCTATTGATCCAATTGAGCTTTCAGAGTTAGCGAAAGTATTATCTTTATGTTATGTTAGATTCCCCCTGATCTCCTCCTCCATTTTAGATATAATTAATCATCCCTGTCGCTGGCTTTTAAGGTAGCTGTAATTTATGGCTGAAAAATATTTTTTTATCTGGGAGTCAATTCTCCACAAGCAGTAGTCGTGAAACCATGATAGGCCAATCAGCAGGTGTTGTCAGTGCTGCGCTGCACCAATGATGAACGTAGAGGGAAATTAAATTTTTTAAAAGAGGAATAAGAAAAAGGTAGGGAAATGTCTTTTACTTTTTAAAAATGCTCTTATTATCATAAAAAAAAAAAGTACTCCATGCGCACATATTAGTATTAATTGGGAACTAATAGACATTTTGTGCCCTCATGTCAGTTCCTGACCCCCATAGAATCACTATATCTAAATATAAATAAGTTAATGTCATTTCTTTCTTTAGATCACAGTAACTTAAAAACAATTGACAGACCTTTACATTCTCTGACAATGCTGCGAGCCTCCTCGGGTAACGTGTTTGAGCTCATATTTGTGTACAGGGCCAGGATCTCCAGTGCCTTCTTATCATCCAGACCACTTTCTACTTCCACCTCATATTTTGGACCTAAAACATGAAAACAGAAGAGGAGATGAAACACACTGCTTGGGAAAAGCTGCAGATTTTTTTCCTAATGCAACAAAAAACAAAGAAGATAAGCTGTGTTCAGTGGAGATTGCATACCGCTAACAGAGTCAGCGAGGCTTCGATTTCTGGTGGTCAGAAGAATCCGACAGTGAATGTCAAACACTTTCAGCACTGAGCTGTCCCAGATGTCATCAAGGATAAGTAGAGATCTAACAGACAAAACAGAAAAAAATAAATAAATAAAAAAGAATTTCTGTTTCTGGTTTGACTGTTTTTTTTAATCAACATTTCATTTTATAGACCAACACAAAAATAGTCGATAACTGTGCTGTAAAAAAAATGCATCCTTTCATTCTAAGTAGAAATAAAAGTAGTCGTTTTGAACTGTAACAGAGGAGAATACACCATCTTACCTGGGATACCTGCGCAGCATCAGGAAGCGCAGGCGCTCCTTAGCTTCATCCAGAGATGTGGGCGGCCGAATATTCGACTGGGAATCCTGGCTCTGCTCCAGACGAAAACACAGTGACTGGATCTTCACCAGCAGGTCTGGTTTCTCCAGCTGACCAATGGAAAGCCAATGAACCCCCCCTGGGAAACATTCTGTGGGCAGAAGATGAGAAGAGGTGAGAAAATTTAAGCTATTTGAACTTTTCCACTATCCGTTGCATCATGTTTCATTGAGTCATTCAGATTTTTTTCACCTTCTATGAGTCCATGGTCTCTGACGGCCTCAGCTGCAAGCACGGACTTGCCTGACCCAGCCATGCCAAACACTGTCACCCAGCCACCTGCATCTTTCTGGAGCAAATAAAGTTTCTCCCTGACCTTATTCAGCAACTCTGGTCTACTGACAAACACCACAGGCCTCTGCGGGACTCCACCTTCACTGAGCACACGCTGGACTGTTGGGAAAGGCAGGAAAGAGTTCATATAAGGCATCCATGTTTGACAAATGTAAAATGTTAGGCTAAAGCAGGTAACTAAAACGGAATGCACATGATTGCTTCAAAACCCAAACACCTACACACTGAAAACATAACATCTGAATTCCCCGCTCCTCTAGTCAACAACATCCCACTTCTCACCATAAGATAAACTGTCAAAAGAGCTTTTATTTCCATCCACCGACACGTCTGGTAGGTCTTTTTGCAGCAGTCTTGCCAGATCGTCATACGCTTCCTTAACCAGCGCATTGTAGAAGGAAATGAAGCAACGATTGTCTTTCTCCAGCACAAGCTTAATGAGCGCTGCAGCCTGGTCTTTTCTGGTGGGCTGCAGGCAGAAATAAACAATGACTCATGTGACCTGAATGGCACATCAGACACATTGAAAGCAAACTTAACCGTTCCATCACAGTGGTTATAGCTACTATATGCCTGGAAAGTTTTCGTTTTTCTCATGCTCGTATACAGCTATTATCTTACAGACATTACAAGAATGGCACTGATATTTACAAATAAAATTAGACAAATTATGGGGAAACCAAAGGAACCCTTCCACAAAGTCTAAAGAACTACTGATAAAGAGCAGGAAGGTAGTCTGGTATAAACAACTTGTAAAAACTTAGAGTATGAGTAACTAATTATTCTGCTCAGCTTGGGTCACCTGAATCCTGATCTTCTCCTCCTCATCCACTGTCATCACACCATCACTGATCATGTGGTCCATAAGGAACTGGGGCTTGATGTCCTGCTCCAGTTGGTGGTGAAAGCGCATCAAGCTGCTCCGTGCCCGCTCCTCCAGGGCCATCTGTGCGGAGGTCACCGACCCTTCAGCAGCTGAAGATTTCATTAAAAAATTTACTGAGGTATTCGCTTAAAAAAAATGCTAAGCCATTTCAAATAAAGTATTTTAATGTATTTAAAATTAAACCTATATCTATTGCAGTTTGCATAAACTAACTGTAGGAGCTATTTCTCCATTATTAAATCTTAGAATTTGGATTATTTAGTTTGATTTGTTATTTAGAATAGGATTTATTTAGAGATTCCCTTATTTAGTTAATTAATTTTAGCTTGGGATGTGGGTGCTTCACAGTATAAATAGGGAGGTCTTAGGTAGCTCATCTTGCATGTGGGTGGTAATATGTTTTTTTTTTTACCAGTTCTCAGCCAGTTAATCAAACAGTGAGTTAATCAAAGAACAGGTGCAGGGATCCGTGAGATCAATAGAAGAATCCTGTGAGGCCTGTAACCTGTTTGTATGTACGGAGAATAAAGCAAGCAAACAACTGGATTTTGACCCTTTTTGATCTTTTTGGACTTCGTTAGCCAGAATCCACTGTTTTTTTCCAGTGGCTATTTCAGTTGAATTCACCTTTTGCTTTGATCACGTCTTAAGTTCTCCTGAATTATAGTTTAGTACAAATAGTCACTACACTTACATAAAAAACAGGAAAGTAAATGAAGGCCCACAGTATTACAGATCCTCCACTTTACTTAATAACAGTTATGAGAGTCTATGATTTACTGAAAAATGCAAAGCTGGCTGATTTCTTTTCTAAATTCTCCTGACCTAAAATTGTTGCTAAAAAGCAATAATTAAGGCAACCATGGCCTCATCAAAAGGTAATATGTTGCAAAAGGCTGAGCAGTAGTGATGTTATGAGATGAGGCTTCAAGGTGTGTGCCATGATTCATTTAGGGGAGGGGCCAAAATTGATGATGACCGAAGCCTCTCTATCGTGATACCATGTGACCACTTCAGGAAGTGGTTCAGAAAGCTCAAGAATTTTGAAAGGCTTTGAACAGCCTCACTACTCGGTCAAGATGTGGGAGTTTGTTGGAGAGTCGCTGTCAGTTGGATAGAGTTTGAATAGATTTGTTTTTCCAATCAATCTATTTGGTTAAAACTATTTTGGTTAAATTAAACAATGTAATGATCAAAATCTGCATAATCCACTGGACACAGTTGTAACTGTGTTAAGTAGTATTGCGCTCCATTGAATTGATATCAATGTTAGTGGCGTCATCTGTAAGACATAGGCTTCTACCCCTGAGGTTGCTGGTTCAAAACCCACCTTTGACTTTGAAAGTTGTGATGAAACTTAAGTATTTTGGCTTATGAGACTAATTTGTATTGGTTTGCCCTAGTAAAAATATAGATTGGGTAAATGCACTGCCAAATTAGATTGGTTGAACTCATAACTTCCAACCTGATTACCAAAAACTGTGGAAACAACTATAATGTTTGAATAAAAATGACTAACACCTTTCATTTTGCTCATCACTGCCAAATTTTCACAAACACTGTCAGCTTGAGTTTATTTCACTAAAATGTCAGAAAAACGGTGCACCTTAAATGATTACTCTCTTCTAAGACATTTTACACTTAAAACAACAACTTACAAATGATTTAATCATACAATCACTACTGAAGCAATCACTACTGAGTACCTTCATCCCAATATGCACAGATGCAATAATTACAGAGCCCAAATCCGTTATATAGTACATAGAAAGTGAATTGCACGAATGTTCTAGTTAACAGACATTAAACTATCATTATTCTGATTATTCTTACACAAATATCCCAAAAAAAGAATCTGACATTTGGGTTTGCATGAGGTGCCAGCCATAAGTACCACAACTACCAGTAGCCTGAAATAAACAATTCTCTGCGTCAGAGCCAACCCTGGTCCTCAAGGCACACTGCTCTGCATCTTTTGGATGTTTCTGAGCTTCAGCACACCTGATTCAGATGATTGCAGTTCAGCAAAGCCTGATAATCTGCTATCAATTGATAACAGGTGTGTGGAAGCTGGGAAACATCTAAAACATGCAGGGCAGTGTGCCTTGAGGACCAGGGTTGAAAAACACTGCGTTAGAGATTGTGGTACTGCATTAGTTTCACTATTAGAATGCAAGGACACACTGAAAGAAAAAGAGGAACATGAAAGTACTGAAAGCGAAAATATGACAGGGCTTATCAGATGCCCACCTGTTTTTAAGGTGACTAACTTCTCAAATCTACAGCTAACTTTTAAACGTCCATAAAGTCAAACAAATAATGAGAAATTGAACTTTAATACTTAATATAATAAACAAAAACCTATTTAATATCAAATAAACTCAGCGTTTAAAGGTATTTCTCAAGTCCATACACGACTTAGGCAGAGACAAAGAAAGCGGCAGGAAACATGTACTCACTGCTGTCTTTAGTGAAGAAATTTGGTGCTATATGTTGAATTGTGACCGTCGCAGTTAAGGCTCCTAGTTAGAAGATCCGAATGCTAGAAAAAAAACATAGCTTTCTATTTTAAAGTGACGCTACACGCCCAATTTAAGACGCGAGCTTCCGGGGTTTACAGCAAAAACAACTACTCCGGTTTGAGATAACCAATCACATACCGATATCTCGGCCACGTGAGCAGTGACCTCACGGATTAACGAAGCAGTAACTGGGCAAACAGCTGCTGCGTTCAGGTAATTTTCTCTGCGTCGTACATTTCTAACGTAGCCAATTGATTACAACTTTTTTCAGCAAATAATGTTTCTAAGACATCCATATAACAAAATACAATACATGTTTAGCAAATTAATTTGTTGAACCGTGCTGTACGCAGGTACATTTGGTGTCTGCGAATGTATCTAAAAATGAAAGCATAACCATCCTTCAGATTTTGTTTCATGATTCTGGAGAGATAATTTTGTGATTTTAATGTGTGTGTTTTTTCATCTCAATAGTTCAATGAAAGTTAGTCTGATTAATATAGGAGGAAATAAATCAGTTTAAGCACGATGGTGCCTTAAAAGTGAACTTTCCAGACAACACCCAAAGGTAACTGGTATTGCTTGATGACAGCTACAGGTTTCGTTTGAGTTTGTGTGTTTTTCTGTGTCTGTACAGGATAACTTGAAAAGTTTGTTAATGACCCAGATTGTAATCTCTATAGTTTTTTATTTATTTATTTTTATTATTACAATTTTTTGAGATTCTCCAACATCATGAGATAGGGCCATTTGGTGGAACAAACAGTTCCCCTCTAATCCAGAGGGTGGCAGCAGTGTGTATTGACAGGCTCAGTATCAGATTCAGCAAAGATTAATTTTATGGCAAACAAAAGCATATCAAATGGTTGGTTTGTTTTCAGGATCAACATAAAAACTTCTGAACAGATTTTTTTTTTAAATTTGCACCTCATGACAAGAACTAATTAATTAAAATCTGTGATTTGATGATCAAGATCGTGTGCAATTTTAACTGGTGTTGCAGCAATACCATTTTTTGGCCCCGATAGCCGATACCTGGCTTTGCCGTATCGGCCAATACCATATCGATACCATCTGTTTGAAATTGATATGTGTGTGTGTATATATGAAGAACTGCATACTACTTGGATGTAAAATAATTGCCATCATGGCTTTGTCAAGCTGCTGCCTACCTTTGTGAAGCAGGAAAAAAAAAAAATACTAATAAAAAGTGAATCCAGAAGAACTTTTTATTGCCTAATGGGTGACAATAGTTGAATAAACTTTTTGCTCTCAAAAATTGTATTGGTGCCCTATTTGTTGGTACTCGCTGATACCGATGCCACCATTTTAATGCTGGATCGGGGCCCCGCCTGATACTGGTATCGGTATCGCTGTAACACTACTTTTAACAATAGGTGTAAAGTCACAACATGGGTCAAAATGTGCTGTTTGGTGGAGATCTGCACTCTAGAAGTGCTTTTCTACATTATTCTGCTACCGGAGCTCAAGCTTTGTGGGTCCAACATTTGTGTTCACACAATCACACAATTAAATACTATGGCAATTAAATGTAGATAAAACAATTTAATGATGCTCCTTGCTTATCGTAATCACTCTGTACAATACACCAGTATAGCAGTGAAAACTCCCCACAGTATGATGCTGCCATCAACATGCTTAACAGTTATTACAGTATGTTCAGGTTTTAAATCCTTATACTTGCTTTAGCTCCTGCTAAATTATTTTTCTGGCCTTGTACTGGGTTTTGAAGATAGTACACAAACTGCTTTAGGTAGGGACAATTTCTGCAGCTTAATATATGCTACATAGTTTATGCTATATAAGTTTGTGCACAAGTTATAGTATGCATCTTCAACAACTTCTTTATTATTTCATCTGCTTTGTAACAATTTTTTGCTGCCCTTGTCATGCCTTATATTTGGCACATTATCTTTTCTCATCCTTACTGTGGCATAATAGTTCAATATAAATCTTGTATGGTCTCATCCACCTATAAGATACTGTCAAGAAGACATTTTTTTTGGTTGTAAGGATCCGGTTAGCAATTTACATCACACAGAAAATCTTTAATATCACACTTGGTTTATTTAGTTTCCACTATTCACACTTCTTATTCAAGTTTTTTTTTTTTTTTTTTTTTTTACATCAATTGTGGTACGGACAAAAATTGATATAAACCTCCCACATCTGTCTGTAAACTGCTTTTCTTTGTGCATTTTAAGGTTTTCAGAGGTTTTCAAACTCTCAACACAAACTATGAGTTTAGCACCTTTTCTTTTACTTTTTTAAACAAAAACAAAAAGACACAAATACTGAAAAACATTACAAGGTGTACAATGAAAAACAAACAAACTATATAACATGCCGTCCACTGGCAAATGTGTCAACAATACAAGTAAAAACATAACATGTGGCAAAGAACTCCAACACCAAGCTACTCATGCAAACAGGAAATTAAAGTTCTGACAGTTAAACATTTAAGCACTGAATGTGGCACTTACTATATACAGCATGATAATACCAGAACTAACTTAAATATTCAGTTTCTTATACTTGTATCAGTAATAAACACCTTGG